TCGGCTCTGGGATGATGCCAGAGGATTTTGCGCTGTGACTGATCAGGAAGCACCAGCAGGTGCAACCCCAGGGAGAGGGATGGCACCCCAAATTCCCTGGATTAAACCTCTCAGCTCCTGTTTGAGGCCACACAGGCACCAGAGGATTCCCTAGGAGAGGTTTCCATCAGAGTGGATAGAGCAGAAAAGAACGTTTTTTGCCTAAAGAAGTGGGAATTTGCACCCTTGGAGCCCCTTGGACTCGGGGCCAGGCAGCACCGACCCCACTGAGAGCTGAACACCCTCTCCAGGAAGTTTTTTTCTCCCAGGAAATCCTAGGACAGCACTCGGATCGCTGCAGGCACAGCCTGACACACCATCCCTGAGCACCAACACGAGCCCATCCCACCACACTTCCACACCTGGGATGCTCCGTGCTGGGAACACACACAGAGGGAGCTGGACACTGATGGACAAGCAGGAAAATCAGGGTTATTCCCGCTCCGTTTTCTCCCCTCGTTGCTCATTTTCCACGCCGGCTGCCCAATTATTTCCCAGGCTGGCTCTGCCCCGCGGTGCCTTTCTGCACTGGCATGGAAGGGAGAAATCAGAGCTGCCTCCAACAGCACTGAGATGCCAAGAAAAACCACGGCAAGGACAAGTCTCTGGACCGTGGGCTCATCAGGGTGGGGGCTTTGGGCTAATTTGGGCTAATTTGGGCTGCTTGAAGCTGTCCTGGAGTGTGCCTCCAGCTTTTCCTGGCTTCCCCCGGGATGATTTGGGCTTTAGGGATTGCCTGCCCTCGTGTATCCCTGCACAACATCCTTCCCAGCAGGCTCATGGTGCATCCCAAACCCGCGTTCTCTCCTTGGAGAGGTATTTCTATTGCCAAAGGGGGATAGGCAGGAAAAATGATAAAAAAAAAAAAAAAATCAGGGAAAAATGATCAGTTCCTGCCCCAAAAGTGGTGTCAGCCCAGATTCAGCAAAAACCCACAAGGCAACGACTGCAAAGCAACAGCTTTGAAGCAAAAGTGCTACAGGGGGTTGTTCTTTCTTTGGCATCAGCTCCAAGTGACCCCCAGCCCAGCCAGGGAGAGCTCCCAGGGCAGGTTTTATCCCAGCTTTTCCCTGGTGTGGCTCCTCACACCATCCCCAGCACCCTTCTCCATCCTCCTCCTGCAGGGATGTAGGATGAGGTGCTGCCACGTTTCCCAAAGCATCTCAGAGCTGAAAAGAGCTGAAGCCTGTCCAGTTTTATCCCAGTCTGACAGAACAGTGAACACACAGTTACATAAAATCCCTTTTTCTGACATTTCTGGAAGCAACCCAGGAGCAGGGCCTGTTCCTTTGCCTGGGTGTGCCCCGAGATGGGAACAGCACCTCCCTGCCTGGAAGATCTCCTGGGTGGGAGAAAGTGTCCTCCAGGAGGAGAATCTTAAATCACAAATAACCCCTGGGCAGGGAGGCTCCTGATCCTTCGCTTTGCCAGTCTGATGCCTCAATCCCAGCTCCACACTGAGCACCAGGAGCAGCTGTGGAGAACCCAGAGTTTGGGAGCTGCCACAACTGCCCAGCGTGGTCCTTGGGATGTGGGAATGGAACACCAACGAGCCAGTACCAAAAACATGGATCCCAAAAGGTATTTATGGTTTCAAACGTAAGTAATAAAATAAACTCTCATTTTTTCAGGATGCAGGAATTAAACTCATCTCAACAAGTGCCTTCGCCCACCCACTTTTGGGATCTGATGCCCCTCCTAGAGAGGGGTCCCCAACCTGGAGAGGGGCACTGCCAGCACCCAAAATGAGTCCCTGGGATGCCCCCCAGCCGTGCCACCTGCTCGGTGACCAGCCTGGCTCCACCACCCGCTCCCAATCCCTCCGCTGCCCATCCCCATCCCGACGGCCACCCCGTCACCTCCCATTAGCCCCGGCCATCCAGGCGTTCCCTGCTCGGCTCCGGCACACACAGCAGCCAAAGCAGGTCACCCAAAACAAGCCGGGTTATTCCAGACTTCCCTCTCCCTTCCCACAGGGAAGGGGAATGCGAGGGGTCTGCACGACTTGTCTTGTTTCCGTTTTCCAAGCGCTGCCACACGGCTGGAGCATCATCCCCGTTTCCCGGGCACCACTCACCTCTCCCGCTGGGATGGGTGAAGGCTGGGCTGGAGGTGCTGGCAGGAGGGATCAGCAGGCAGGGAACGGGCATTTCCATGTGGTGTCGGCACCGCAGGTCCCACGGGATGGCCGGAGCTCACCAGACTGAGCCCAGCGCCGCGTCCTGCACCTCCGGCTCTGCTGCTCCGTGATTCCGATCCCTGATCCCGGCGCTTTCCCGCTGTCACAGCTGCCATCTAGAGGGGACCTTTTCCCATTGCAAACACGTCCCTCAAATTGTAACAAAATCCCAAGGTTCAGGAATAAAAAATAATCCCGGTCCATCGCTTGATGGCGCAGGAAGAGCCTGGACACAGAGGTTCACACCGTGAATCCACACGGGATTTTCCTGCTTGTTTTACCAGAGTTAGAACCAAGCAACAGGACACCCACAAGAGGAAGGAATATTTCTAGGGAATCTAGGAAACATGTATTTAACAGTCCAGGAGAGGTAAATGGTCAAAACAACCCTCAAATCACGTTTCTGAAAGCAAGTGAGGGGCTAAAAGGGTTGCCCAGGGTGGGGTCCTGCTTCTTGCTGTCCAGAACATGGAGCTTTGGAGTGACCTGGATGAAAAGGTACCTCAGAGCAGCTGGATAAATGGAAGGATGGGATGTGAAGAGGATGAAACCCAAAATTGGAGGGTTAAGGTACAAACCTGCCATGGTAAGACATGGTTTGGGGGCGAGGAACTGAGAGCCTGGCACTGTTGGTCCAGCTGCTCATGGGCTGCTCGGTGCCAGCTGGATCCGGGATTGGTTTGGGGGGAAAACAGCTGGAAGTCACCACCGGCGGGCTGGGAGCTCTGGTGGACTGGCCATTTCACAGGACACAATTCCAGAATGGTTTGGGGTTGGAAGGGACCTTAAGGACCATGTCATTCCAACCCCCTGCCATGGGCAGGGACACCTTCCACTAGCCCAGGTTGCTCCAAGCCCCGTCCAACCTGGCCTTGGACACTTCCAGGGATCCAGGGGCAGCCACAGCTTCTCTGGGCAACCTGTGCCAGGGCCTCCCCACCCTCACAGGAAAGAACTCCTTCCCAATATCCCTCTGGCACTGGGAAGTCATTCCCCCTTGTCCTGTCCCTCCATCCCTTGTCCCCAGTCCCTCTCCAGCTCTCCTGGAGCCCCTTTAGGCCCTGGAAGGAGCTCTCAGCTCCCCCTGGATCCATCTCTTCTCCAGGTGAACCCCCCCAGCTCTCCCAGCCTGGCTCCACAGTCTTCACCCTCCGTGAGGAACCTCTCCAAGGACCCTCAGGATCTGACCTGCTGGAGGGACCAAAGGGCTTGGAAGTTCACAGAATATCCTGAGTTTGGAGGAACCCACAAGGATCCAAGTCCAACCCCTCGCCCTACACAGGCCAACCCCAGAAATCCCACTCTGAGTTCCATGAAAGCATCGACATTAAGGCTGAAGAAAACTCGGGAAATGAAGTGAAAGCTCTCCAGGTCTCAAAGCAAAGACCAGCATGGGTGACAGTGGCTGGATACCATGGATTCCTCCAGGAAAAGGGATTTATTGCTGCCCTCAAGCACATCAGCCCAAAAGGCTGCACAGCTTGGGAGGGAAATCTTTTCTGCCCCAAAACTTGTAGGTATAAGAACATCTAAAAATCTACCTGCACCCCAACTCAAGTGGAACAACGTGCAGATTCCAAGATTGCTGCTGGGATAGCAGAGAAGTTCACAGGAGTTTTCCCCCAGAAAAAGAAGAAAAAAGCAGTGGATTGATGATAAAATAGCTGCCCTTTATGGAGTGGCATCAGCTGGCACGACGTGTCCCTCCCCAGATCCCACAGTGGCATCCCAAGCCACGTGCCAGGGATGCAGGTGCCCAAATTGCTCCTCCACAGCCTTCCAGAAGGGCTCTGCCCTTGGGCAGCTTCCAGAGGATCTGGGGGTACAAACCTGGGAGAAACACGAGCACGACCAGGTTTCCTTTTCTTTCCTTTTAATATAAACATCCTAGGGAAACTTGGGAGGAGGAGCAGCCTAAAGGGAATGTCTTTTGGAATAAAGCCGTGCGACATGCTTCGGGAATGATGTGCAAAATTGAAATGTCCAAGCAGGGTCAGCTCAGTTCAGGACTTCCTGGATTCTTGGGTCTTCTTGATTTCCTGCAAGGAGAGCAGGAAAACCACTGAGAATCTGCCACTTTTGGGGAAAAACTCTTGGTTTCAGAGCTCTGGAGGTCAGGAGTGACTCAGATCAGAGGATTGAGCCCAGAGTTCACCTTCAGAGACAAGGCAAGGTTTGACTTGGAGGCTCCAAAAATAGGAATCCTCTTCTACACCACCCAGGGATGTATCTTTATTTTCTCCCTAACCCAGGACTGTGCTGGATTCATTTCCCACTTTTAGGCCCTAGATCCATCATCCATGAGCTGTGCTCAGTCACATCCCTCAACCCAGACCAAGTGTGGGATGAGGTGACATTCCTGGGGCTGCCTGAGGACAGACTTTCTTGTCCCAGAGGTGACACCTGCCCGGGAATGAGGTGGAAAAGCTCCAAGGACTCACCTCCAGCAGCACTTCCTTCAATTCAGAATAGGCTTTTTCTAGATCATCATTAATAATGACCAGGTCAAACAGCCCAGGCTCTTTACCTGGGGAAGGAGACAAGGACAAGAGTTAGAGGAGGATGTTTCTTCCCTGGGTCACCTCTTGTGTTATTTGGTAACATTATTTCAGCCACTGCTCTGCCAACCACCCACAAGGAGCTGCAGTGGGAAAGGCATCAAGTGCTTCCATCAGAGTTGGCTCTGGAGAGCACAAATCAGATATTCCTGCAAAAACCAGCCCCTGAATCACCAAGGCATCATCCCCTCTCCATCTCACACCACTCCAAGGACTTACTAAGCTCCAAGTCCACTCGGGCTGCAGTCAAACGCTTCAGTAAACTCTCCTCTGTCTCAGTCTTTCGGTCTCGTAGCCTTTTTTCCTAAACACAGTGAAAAATGTATTAAAAAAGTAAGTGTTCTGAAAGCTGCAGGTGGAAACCACCACCCACCCCCTCAGGCCAGGGCTGTCTGTGACCATGGGCATGTGAGAATACCCTGCACCCTCATTTACAGCCCAGTGCAAACCAGTGGCCAAACTGGGCTCAGCATCTCCTACCTGGAGCTCGGGGTCCCAGGGTTTGTTTTTTTTTTTACCTCCCTCTTATTTATTTATTTTTCCAGGTACTGCTGGAAATGAAATCTCTCTGCTGGGCTCTGGCCACGTGGTGCTGTTGGCTTCCTCCTCCTCAAGCTCAACGAGAACCAGAGACTGCCTGATGTACTGAGAGCAAGAGGGGAGAGTCAGGGGTTGTGCTCACGTGTCCTCATCCCTCTCTGAACCACAACAGTGACTCCATTTCTGCAGAGTCCCACTGCAATCACTCACATGGGGCAAGACCAGAGGGGTACAGAATTTATGGGCTACAGAATTTATGGTGCTGCACAAAACCAGCCTCCATGGGTTTCATTATAACTGTGGAGGCAAATCTCAGCACAAAATCCCTCTCTCCCCAGCATGAAGCCCATCTGAAGGACTGTGATGGAGTCCCTAACCCAGCACAGGCAAACACGCCAAGGTGTGGGAAACACGCGGGAGGGACTCAAAAAACCAGAGCGCGGGAAGATTCATCCCTGAGAGCTGAGGAGCTGAACAGCCTGCTTGGGAATGTCCTCCCCACCTATTCCAGGGCCCTTAGGAACACGGGGATGGATGAAGGAGGGGTGAGACCCCCCCATCTGCAGAGCAAGAGCTGATTACCTCTAACTGCCTAACGGCAAAGCAAGGCGGGCGCTCACCAAGATGTCAATGGACGGCGGCTGCACCGAGATGTAGATGGGGTTCAGGTCGGTCTTCTTGATGTTCTTCACGCCCTGGATGTCGATGTCAAGGACACAGATCTGGTTCTGGGCCTGCACAGCCTGCACAGCACCTTTACTGGGGACACAGCACACAGGGAAGGGGTCAGTGTGCACCGGGGGGTTGGTGTGTCCCCCTCCGGCAGCGGGGGAACCTCACGGGACTCCCCTGGGCCCAAACTGGGGCTCTGCTCTTGCTGAACAGTTTCTCCAAATGTGCTTTGGGACCCTGGGGTGGAGCAGGGACCTGCTGCCTCCTGCTAGAGGTTGGCAAAGCCATGCTGGAAGGTGTGGAAATGGATCATGTGTGACTGTCCCACGAGCAGCACGATTCAGGTACCACCCATAAAGCTCCTGCTGTGACAAAGCTCCACCTCCCAGCGGAAAGGTCCCTGCCCATGGCAGGGGGTTGGAACTAGATGGTCTTTAAGGTCCTTTCCAACCCAAACCATCCTGGGATTCTGTGACAAACACAGAAACAACCTTCCCCAAAGAGCAAAGCCACTGAGAAGTTCCCTTCTCCAGAGATCCACTGACTCCTGTACCCACACGTTCTCCTGAGGGATGGACACGGATGCTCCGTCTGGGTCATGAGATGCACTTGATGATTCACTGAATTTTCCAGTGGTGGTTTCTCATATGTCCTTAAAGACAACCTCTCTTCCCCAGCGTGGGGGAACTGCCTGGAGCTTGTTCCTGAACTCCTACAATTCTCCCTGGAAATGCAGCAACACCAACCCACTCCTGGTGCACTCAGAGTACCTGGACTACAGATCCAGAGGTTTGCTGCCTTGCCCAGATGCCAGCACCAACCTATACCCACCAAAAACCTCCTCAAAATGGTTTGCTTTGCCTTGTGAAAGCCTGAGGAAGAGACTCCACACCTGAACTCTGATTTCAGCCTGTGATTTAAGGCAGCTTCCAAGAAATCCTGGTTTCTGTGGGCAGGAATTAGGGCTATCCCACACACAGGGCTCTAAAATTAAGCAACTGATTTTTAGTTATTTATTATTATTCACTGATGAGATTTAAGGAGCAGAAAGGACTGGTGAAAACTTTCAACTCTTTTGAAAGGCATGAGGGACTCTCTCCATTTTATCCTACATCAGATTAGAAACATCCTCAGGCACTTGGAGAGGAAAGACAGGCATGGAGAGATCCTGTATTTATTCGGTTTGCACACTAGTCTTTATTGCTTCTCTGGCAAACCACCCTCACAGGGAAGAATTTACCCTCAGAAGGAAACTTTGCCATCTCCAAAAAAATCCTCAAAAAGGCACATTCAGCTCTTCAGGAAACATTAAGTCTTCTTGAAAAGCATTTCAGGCAAATTTTTTAATGCAAGTAATTAAATGGCCCACGAAACATTTAACCTCCCTCCTCAGCAGGTCCTTCCCTGACAGCACCACAGTTTTGCCACAATAATTATATAAGATCTCTGACTCCTAATTAACGTTCCAGCCTCATGTTGGATTGATCACCAGCTCCAGTGCCCAGGGCAAAGCTATTTTAGAACCCACCCAACTCTTCAACCCCGGCCAGGGGTGCCACGGAATTCATGATCAGACACTTCAGCAGAGCAGGACGTCACAGCCAGCACAGTCATGGCTTCTGCTCCCAAATTCATGGAATCCCAGGATGGTTTGGGTTGGGAGGGGACTTAATCCCCATGTAATTCCAGCCCCCTGCCATGGGCAGGGACACCTGACCTACCTCGTCCCGTACATGTTCCCGGAGAACTCGGCGTGCTCGATGAATTCCCCGGCATCGATCTCCTTCTGCATTTCCTCTCTGGTCACAAAGTGATAATCTGGAGAGGGAAAACCAGGGAAAACAGCCAGGAATTGACAGTTTTGAAGGTAAAGTTCATGGTCAAAATGACACCCACGGGAGCCTGGGGGAGAGGACACTTAAAATGTGCTTTGGACAACGCTGGGAGACTGCAGAGATCTCCCTCCTAGTTATTGGATGCAGCATTCCCTCTCCACACCAGTTGTCCAGACTCCTCTTCCAAACATTCTGGAGCTCTCTGTGTGGCCAGAAATGCTGCTGTACCCCCTTTTCCATCCCCTTTCCCCTTCCTGGTGCAGTGGGAACCTCTCCCCGCTCTTGCCCACAGGTGTGGAACACATCCTGGCAGGGCTGGCAAGGCCCTTCATTTGGAAACATTTATAATTAAAGACTAGAATGGGATGAGAGAGAGGGAGATAAAAGGGAACATCAAAACCAAGCAGACTAAAAAGGAATGTTTCTCTACCTTTTGTTAAAATTCCTCCCTTTCATTTCAGAGTGAAAACTGCCCATTGGAAATTAAGCACAAACCTCTTTTGGTTCTTTCTTAAACATGCAAATGAACAGGGAAACAGCTGTTAATGAATATTAAAACATCTCATTAAGCAGCTGCACTTCCCAAAGCACTGGGCATTGGGGGTATTTCCCCTGAAACTTTGGAAAACCAGGTCAGTCAAGTCAGACCAGGGTGTCTCAACTGAAACCTCAGGGAATTATTTGGAGACTCCAAGGAGACAAATCCAGCTGCAAGACACTCACCTTTGCCATTCACTTCCCCAGGTCTTGGCTGCCTTGTGGTATCTGCAGGTAAAAAAAAAAATAAATAAAACAACCTTGGAAATTCTGTACATCACCCAAGGATGTCAAAGTATCAAAGAAAAGCCAAGGTCTAAGTGGCCCCTGGATCTTTAGGGGAAAAAAAAATCTCTACCAGGAGAAAACCTGGGAGAAAACAGCAAGATTTAGTTTGGAGTGAGAGATTCACCAAGAGCACAGGATGAAGCACACAAAAAGGAAGATAATTTTTAAGTCTTTTCACCTCCCATAACGTTAAATTTTTCAACATCCAGAGTTTGCTCTCTCCTGGTGGAGTGAATCCAGATCTCAGGTCTCAAAGCAAGGATTTCCCTTGCAGGACCCAAAGTGTTGGGACATTAAAACACATTTTGGTAACGGACTTAAAAACACCTGGCAGAGCTCCAGAGAAAAATCAAGTGGCTTTTGAAGGAGAAATTTGGGGGAATTTTGTTACTTTCAGTGGCAAGAATCACTCAGAAGAATCTTGTTACCTGTCAGAGCTGTGGGGAATTCCCAGACCTGGAAAAGGTGCTATTCCAGACAAATCAGACTTGCCACTCAATAAAGGCATCCCAATTTATTTAAACATCCCAAAGAGCCCACAGACAGACTGGGACACAGGCAAGCCATGGAAAACCATTATTTGGGGTACAAATAGAGCTACAGCCCTGAACTCCTGCCCTGCCTTTCCCTGGGAACACAGGGATACTCACGGGAGACACTGAAGCCGAAGATGTTCTCGTAATCTTTGAGCAGTTTCTTTAACAAAGTGCTTTTCCCTGCACCTGAAGGGCCACTCAGAACCACTGGCCTTGGTCCCTGCATGACTGGGGAGAGACAGAAAAATATGTGTCTGGTTGGAAACAGCCATGAAAACACAGGGATGGATTCCCAGGGGTGCTCAGCTCCTCAGAGCAGCACCAGTTCTTTATCCTTGGATTGAAAGTTCTGCAGGAAAATCAGAAATGATGAGAAATCACAAGCCTAGAGCTGATAAAAAGTACTGGGAGTGCAGGATCTTCTCAATGGATTGAGGTCAAACCCACAGGAATAACCCAAAGGAGGAGGAAACTGAGCTCCAGCTGCTACTAAAGTGGGTTAATTCATGCCAGCCGAGTCCCACTGGGATTGAAATCTTAAGGAAAACTTTCCCCAACAGGAAGAAAATGCCATTTGTGCCTGGTGCCACCTGGAAAATCATGGGACAGAGGGACAGTCCCAGCCCCTTCCCTCTTATGGGGAGAAAGAGGCCTCGAGGAGGGTTTGCAGGATAAGAGTTTCCAGTGTGTCCTCCATGACTGAATCCCAAAACCTTGCAAGAGAATCTGAACTCAGGTGAAATCACTGGCATGGACGTGCTTTGGGGTTTCATTCCAGATTTCCTGGAGCACTGACTCCTGCTGGAGGTGTCTCATGGCAAGAGGGAAGGGTTCAGCTCCTGGTCCAGGTTAAGGAAAGGCAGCCTGGGGCCACACAGAACTTGTTGCAGTTGTTTCTTCAGCCAGAAAGGGGAAAAAAAAAAAGGGTGTTTTTATGTTCCTGCCTCTCTGGGGAGGAAGATATGTTAGTTATCAAGATTAATAACATTTTTACAAAGAATAAATAAGAATAAAGAAGAAAAATGCTGTCTGAGAGGGAAGGGGGTACCACTGGGGACCCTCATCCATCAGCAGCTTCCAAGGCAGAGGTGACAAATCAAACAAGGCAGTTCTGCTCTTCCTATTTAAAAATTACTTTTTCAAGCAGTAAAATCCTGGGAAAAGCAGGGTTTTTTTAACCTCCTGGGCTGGGTGTGGCCTGGGGAGCAACCACCCCCGGGGCAGGTAATGCCTTTCCATGTTAAATTAGCTCAGAGCAATGTCAGCCCGACCTTCCAGCTCACTTTTTAACCAGCCTTAAGCCAAGTGCTGTCTCACCAAAGCAGCTAATCCAGCCTGGCTGCCTCCCTGACCCCAGCCTGGACACCTCCTTATCCCTAAATCCCTCCAGCAGGCAGCACAACAGCCAGGGAGTGACACAACTTCTCCCCTCTGTTCCCTGAGGACACTTGTCTGACCTGGGATATCCAAAGTCTAAGCAGGTGCCAATGGCAGCAGCAACATCCACAGGCAATAATTATCCATAAGGAAATTCCTCCTTTTTGCTTGGTGTTTTCCAGGTGCTGCAGCCCTGGAGATCCATCAGATCAAACATTCTCCAGGGATCCTGGAGGATCAGTCCCATCACCATGTTGCTGGATTAATCTCCATCATTCAAAAAACAGCAGCTCCAGGAAGCCCTTTTGGGGACCTTCTCACCATTCCCTTAATCCCTGAATTTTGGTGATTTCCAAATATCACAGGTTTTGCCTAAATATTCAATACCAGAAGAGGAAAAAGGACCAGCAAAGTGCCTGCAGCAAGGAAGCAGAGGATCCCTGAGGAGTCATCCAAAGCATTTCCCTCTCTTCTGCCCCTGACAGTTCCTCTCTTCCACATCAATAAATCAGGTGAGCCCTAAGCATTCCTTGGAAAACACTCCAAAAGAGGAAGGAACCACAGAAATTCAACACCCCAGGGCACTTCACAGCACTGCTCCCAAACAATGTTCCTTCATCACACACCAGCTTCCTCAGCCACCTGGAAAGCTCCACATGGGACACTGGGCTGGCAGCACAGACCCTGCCCAGCTGTTTCACAGCTTCCCCTCCAAGGTGATCCAGCTGTGCCAGCAGGAACTGTTCCAGATGTGCCATTCCCAGTCCTAGATCCCAGCTACAGGGAACAGAGCTTTCCTCTCCCCGCTCCCACCTCAAAATTTCACCTGCCCTTGAGCAAGCACAGATAGAAAAACAGGAATTTTAAGCTGCCCAAAATCACTTCCAGTCATTTCATTCCACTCCAAGCAGGAAAGGGGTCGGAGGGATGGGCTGGGAGCAGGTTCCAAGGCATCCTTACCTTTTCCTTTTGCTCTCCTCCAGCCGAGGAATGCAGTCCAGCCCCCGGGAGCAGAGACAAGCTCAGGACACAGAGCTGAGCTATTTGTGAGCTCCTAAAGCCTTAATTAACGAGCTGCAGTTTTAAGATGGCCAATGAGAGCCACCCACTGGGCTTTAATCTGCCCTCGTGGATCCTCCTCCGCTCCCTGCTCTCCCACCTGGCAAAGCTGCATCCAACACCCCCAAAAGGCTGAGGGGGGCTGGCCTGGGATTATGGGACACAGGAAAACTGTCCCTGTCCCTGCAGGTCATCTCACAGTCACCAGCATAAAGGGACAAGGATTTCACCTGCACGTAGTTTGGGGTGGAAGGGACCTTAAAGCTCATCCAGTTCCAAGCCCCTTCCACTAGCCCAGGTTGCTCCAAGCCCTGTCCAACCTGGCCTTGGACACTTCCAGGCACTTCCTTCTGCAGGCAGTGCAGTTCCTTTGGACCAAATCCACACATGGCTGTCACCTCCAGCTGCCTCACCTCAGGCCAAGGACCACAGAGGCCCCAGGGAAACTCCTCCTCTTGCCCACAGATCCAAACCATGTCCCAGCACATCCATACTGGGATCCTCTCCTTGACCTCACTCCCCCTTTTTTTTTTTTCCCCTAAAAATACTCATAACTAAGTGAGAAAAGGCACCTGGGTGTGATCACTTGTCTCACTTCCTTGGAAAACAGGCTAAAATTAAACTAAGAAGGGACTTGCTTTTTCTCCCTCCTGTTTGGTTTGCAGCCCAGCAATGCATCCCTGCATCCCATTTCCAAGCCATCTGCAGCAGGAACATCACAAAGATGGATTTATTTTGAGCAGAGTGTCTGGATTTTTTTTTTTATCCTTTGCTCAGGTTTTGGCATTTTCAGAGCAGCCAATCTGCAAACACCCAGCACTGAGGGTCTCCTAAAAATGGGTTTGGATCCAGCCTAACCCACCAGGGAGCTGATCAGCCAGAGAACAACACGACTAATTAATTATTTAATTAATATTTGGGCAGGTCTCACACCTGGGACTGAGGACAAATGGCCCTGTGAACCCCCCCAGGCTGCAAAAAGATGAGGTGGTCCCTGAAGGAGCATACAGGAGGTTGTCCCTAAATCAAGGAATGTTTCCTGGTCTGCTCCTGCCTGCTGAACTCACCCCGGATTTTACCTGGGAGGCAGCAACACAACCAGGAAAGCAAAGGACAGACATCACAAGAGTTAAACTAATTAATGCTGATTAGCAGAGAGGCTTTGCAGGGAAGGCAAAGCCCCATTTGCAAAGAAGAAAAGAAGATTAAAGCAGTTTCCCTGGAGCCTTGAGAAAGGTTTCCTGGATTAGGATTATAAACCTGCTCCCTATTTTTAGCAGGTTCCTTAAAAAGATGCCACTCCCACCTTTCTAAGATTTGGGATTATTTCCAAAGAGACAGAGATCTGCCCAGGCAGACAGGGAGTTATGTGCAGCACTGAAACAGGAGCAGGGAGGTTGGTTCCTTCCAACCTCACCCATCCTGTGATTCCATGAGCAGCATCCCACTGCAGCAGGGAGCTGGCAGGAACACTCGGGCACCTTTTTCCCGGAAGTAATTAGCTAATAAGCACTAATTAGCCCCTCCCCTGGCCGTGCTGTGGGCACTGCCCATTGCAGGCAGCACTGATGCTGCAGAGGGAACAGGAACCACCTGCTCAAGGTCACTGCAGGAATCTCCAAGGTCCAGGCCAGTGATTCCAGCACCGTGCTCGGCTGCAAACTGGACCAGTTTAACCCACCCACTGGCTGGAACCAGTTTACCCACCTGGGTGAACCTCTAGAGAGGTGAGGCTCGCCCTGCTGTGGTTTCACCAGCCACTTCCCCACAGGTGTTTTCACCACCTTTGGTTTTGGATACAGGGAGGAGGCTTATCCCAAACCACAAACCAAACTGATTCCACGTGCACTTCCCTGGCCGGCTTATCTAAGTGGGAACAGGGATATCCCAGCTCAGGGGTGGGGATACACCGGCCCAGGGCGGTGTATCCCACCCTCCCTCAGCCAGCCCACGTGGATAACGGGGCACGGGCAGGGCTCTGAGGGCCTTAGGGAGCTCAGCATCCCCAGGGATGGGGATCAGACCCCTCATCCAGGGGGTCCTGGGGCGGGATCAGCACCCCCAGCTCAGCACCTCAGCACCCCGGGGCCTCTCAGCACAGGGACCCTGTGAGGGGCTGAGCACCCTGG